GCTTTTTTCTTTTTGCTTATGTGGTGCTGAGGAATCGAACCCAGGGCCTCATGCATGCAAGGCAAGCGCTCTACCACTGAGCCACCTTCTCAGCCCTTGTTGTTGTTGTTTCTTGAGGCAAGGTCTTACTATGTAGCCCAGGCTTCCAGTGAGTGATTGGATTACAGATGTGCATCACCATGCTGTTTATATTTTTACTGGTTCTGTCAAAAGACCAAATTATAACAAATGTAAAGATCTCAGATGGCTTTTATTTGCAATTGTAGGATGAGGTAATGGCTTATCCCATAAAGCAAAGTAAGTTACTTTGATGAGCTGAGCACAGGTTAGTCTTATAGATGGCAAGTTGGGGGTGAGGTTGCTCTGCCATCTCTTTCACCCTGCTCATGCTTCCGAAACTCTGGATCATCTGTCTACTCTGACACATGCAGATGTCTTAACCTGGTCTCACTCCTTACTGAGCTACAACCAGATGACTTTTTATTTTGTGCTGCTGGTATTGGGACTGGAATTCAAAGCTTCATGCTTGCTAGGCAAGTCCTCTATTATTTGAACCACATACCCAGCCATGTTTGCTTTTAGGTTATTTTTCAGATAGGGTCTTGTATTTTTGCCTAAGGCTAGCCTTGGCCTCCCTGCCTGGCCTTCTCTCCCTGCGTCTACAAGTGACTCCTCCACATGCATTGCTTTCAAAATTGGGTTGCCATTGGGGTCTTTGGAGTTCTTGATTTGGATCTTGTTGAAAAAGGCTTGGGGACCACAGGGTCTTTATTTTTTGGAGGGGGGGAGCCATGGGCCTGAACTCTGGGCCTGGGCGCTGTCTCTCAGCCCTTCAGCTCAAGGCTAGCGCTCTACCATTTGAGCTACAGCGCCTCTTCCAGCTTTTTCCACTTATGTGGTGCTGAGGAATGGAACCCAGGGCCTCAGGCATGCAAGGCAAGCACTCTATCACCGAGCCACCTTCCCAGCCCGGCCACAGGGTCTTATGAAAGAGAAGAAAGGTACTTTAGAATGTACATTACCTATGATGATCCATATTGTATTTAAACTATGACTGCATTTCTCTATGAAACATTTACCCAAGCTAACTTGAGGATCTAATAACCAGATAGCTTATAAATCACTTATATTAAAAGTATCATCTCCCTTACTTGACTATTATTATTATTAATAATAATCTATGCAATATGGAGGCCTGAACACAGGGCCTAGTGCTCACAAGGCCAGGGAACTACCACATAGGCAGAGAACATTTTCTCCTGCCTGGAAGCTGTCGGTCGGGCCAGATGGGGTGGTCGGGCTGACAGGCAGGGTGGGGGTTCCTCCGGGAAAGTGGACGATCTCTAGAGCCTGCTTCCTGAGCCAGCTCCCACGGAACGAGGAGGAAACGAGCACTTCCCCCGCCACCGAGACGGGAGAGGGCCGGGGCCTTCACCAGGGCCCCAAGCCTTCCGCGGGGAAGGGCCTGGTGTGGTCCGACTGCAGAGGACCGAACGAGGCGGGTGCCTCCCGGTTTTCCCCGTGCGCAAGTCCCTCGGAGGCCGGACGCTCGGAGGGACGACTCGGGAAAGGCCTCCCAGCCGCCCCTCCGGTGAGAGGCCCGAGGGCGCGCGGCTCACCTGCGTGAGTAGCTCGGTCTCAAGGCGACGCCCACAGCTGAAGGATGAGGAAAACCCCGGCGTCCCGGGCTTGGCCGGACCGCGGGGCTACAGGCCCAGCGCGCCGGGCCCGCCCTCGGCTCCCGTCCCCGGAGGCCGGCCGGGCCACGAGACCCGCCCCAATCCCGCCTCCAGGACCAAGACCCACCTTCCGATCTCCCTCCCCGCCCTCCAGAAGCCACGCCCCCGACCAAGGCTCCTTTCTCTCTACGTCTGCCCTACCAGAAGCCACGCCCCCAGGACAAGCCCCGCCCAATAAGCCCCGCCCTCGTTCCTCTCCTGCTAATCAAGGCTCCGCCTTTTCGTCCTGCCCTACCAGAGACCCCACCCCAACCCGCCTCCAGTGCCACGACCACGCCCCTTCAGAGGCCACGCCCCCAGAGTCGCGGGCGCTCGGGCTCGGGCGCGGCGTTTCCTCGGTGCTCTCGGTTCTCCGCGGGGCTGCACCCGTCCCCGGCTCTCTCTGCTGAGGCTTCCCGACTCCGCCACGCCGCACGTGGGCGCGCCCGCCGACCAGGGCCGCTGCCGCTGGTAAGTCGTGCTTGAGCCCTTACCTGCCTTTCAGCCCTCGGCCTCCGGGAGAACCCGGCGTCTGGTTGCCGCGGGCCCCGGGGCGGGAG